CCTTGATTTCAGACTTCTGGCCTCCGGAACTATGAGGGAGCACATTTCTGTTGTTTAAGCCACTCAGTCTGTGGTAGTTTGTTATGGAGACTAACACAGTCACCACAGTGCGTGGAACAGTGACAGGAACTTTACCTACTAAGAAGATCCTTCATGTCCTCCTCTCTTCACCACACTGGACTCTACTGACCTCATAGATGCTTCCTTGAGCTTCTCTCCCTCTCTCTTTAACCCCCTCCTCTTCCTCCTTCCCTTACTGTGGCATGGCCTTCCACTTCTCCTCCCTCACCCTGCAGAGTTACAAGCTCACAGCTCACTCTGGGCCTACTCCCAACGAGTACCTTCCAGAAGCACTTCACCATAGCCTTCCACATCTCAGTGAGGTCAGTGGGGAGCCTGCTTCTCCTTCTCCCTCTGCGTGCACTCATTCTCTCTCTCTCTCAAATAAATAAATAAAATATTTTTAAAAAGGAAATATGAAATTTTTTTTCCCTAACAGCTGATCATTAAATATCATTGGGGGCATATAACTCAGAAAGAACTCAAATACTTCGATTTGGCTGATTGACTTGGCAAGGCGGAATGGCTTTGCCAATTATATGATGAATATCTTCCATAGTTGAAAGAGGTAAATCGGTTACAAAGTTGCCGTAAAATATATTTAAGACACTTGGTCAAAGTATTTTAGCAAAAATATGACACACGCACAATATGGCACTTGTATTGAAATTAACTGTTTTGATTTACCCAACTCTGAGTATACCTAGTTAAACAAGATTCCTCTGAGTGGAAGAACAGTGGCCACTCCACAGAGCCACCCCATGGATAGGCAGGAGCCTCTCCCCGCTCTCTCTCTCTCTGTCCTTCCACATTCCCAAGTCCTGTGGTCCATGTGGTGCCCCGGCATTGCCTCATTTCGTGTCCTACTCTCTTACCTGGGGCTCTCACTCAGCTTCGCCTTACTGCACAGGGCTGGAGGCAGTGAGGTTTTTAGACCCTGGGAGGGGAGGAAGGGAGTGAGCAGGGAGCTCTGTGGCCTGGCCTCAAGATGGATTGTCTCTAAGAGATATTCACATTCTCAGACAGCCAAGATTAACACTCTGACACTCTGGGCTGTTACCCTTGTTAGGGGGCCATCAGGAAAATAGAAAGGAAGCAGAAGCAATGGAAAGAGAGAATGAGTCTGAGACACTTTGCAAGGCAAAAGTACATGGATACGAGAATGATGGAAAAGAAGGAGGTGTCAAAATAACACAGCCAATACCGGGTGTTGCTGGAGAGAAGGAATATGCCTCTGGACATGAGGTTCAGATAGGGGGACTTCCCCATAAATAGCTCCCAGGGGCAAGATCATATATGTCTGGGAGTCCCTCGTGCAGGGTTAAGAATTGAAACCAAGATAACTAGAGAGTTCTTTCAGGCAAAGGATGTAGATGGAGAAGGAAAGAAAGCTGGAGGTTGAATCTTGGGCTGGGAAGAAAGATCAAAGGAGGCAAAGAAAGAAGATGAAGAGGAGGGGATGAAGGGGGAGGAGAAGGAGGAGGAAGAGACAGAGATGAGCATAAATAGGGGAGTGTTAGTCAAAGGAGAAGGGGTCCCAAAGGAAAAGAGGGAGAGTGATACTGTCCGTGACAGAAATTCAAATACCAGGCAACTAGCGAGGAAAGGGTCTTGCAAAAAGGAAAATCTAAACAAATGGTAAATTTTAATTTGTCTTGCATAACTGAATCCCTGATGAAACATCTGTGCAAGAATTGCATTTAGTATCATATAATGAACTCATCGCACTCACAGGATTGCCTTTAGTTTCGTAGATGCAGCTGAATAGGATATACGTTTTTCTTTCAAGAAACACCACCTGAATGTTCCTTACAAACGGAGAGGGGGAAATAAAAGGAACTTCATTTCTGTACCGTACATACCTATTCATATTATGTTGTACTGCCATGCTCTCTGAGGGAGGAACACCTTTGGGTATGCTGTGGGTTAGGTAAACACCCACTAAATATTGATGCCTGCATAATTAGAATGACTAAAATAATCCTGGCATAAAATTACCCTAGCAGTTAGAAGAGAGACAAAATGAAGTAATTTGATCATGAAAATCAATACAAGTCGACTCTCGGTTTTCAATGCAGCTAATTGGAAGCCATTTATTATACAAACCCCGCTTTTGCTCATGGTCTGTACTCTTTTCCCTCTGAGAAAGAGGAAGTGGGGAGGAGAGTCCCGGGAGCAAAGCTGTCATACTGGGATGGTGGAAAGAAGTATGCTTACTTCTCGAAGGCAGCGGCTCCTGAACTCTTACCTGTATTGATTTTGTCATCTTCTGTGGGCATGTCCAGGATGATTGGCCATCCTGTTCTCTCCTACTCAAATGACATTGCAATTGCAAAGAGACAAACATTATTGTAGGTGTAGTCTTTTTTTTTTTTTTAAGCTTTTATTTATTTATTTGTCAGAGAGAGAGAGCACAAGCAGGGGAGGGGCAGAGGGAGAAGCAAGCTCTCCTTGGAGCAGGGTGCCCGATGCGGGGCTCGATCCCAGGACCCTGGGATCATGACCTGAGCTGACGGCAGAGGCCTAACCGACTGAGCCACCCAGGTGTCCCATGGTTTAATCTTTTTTAAATAAGAGTTTTAATGAGCTATATAATTCACATATCGTAAAACCCACCCATGGAAAGGGTGATTTACAAATCAGTGATTGTTAGCCTTCACAGAGCTGTACAATCATCACCATATTTCATCACTGTAGAAAGAAACCCTATTTCCACTAGCGCTCACTCCCCATTGCACCCCAAACATCCCAGCTGCTGGCCACCACCAATCTGATTTCTGTCTCTATGGACTTGCCTATTCTGGACATTTTATATAAATGGAATCATGAAGTATGTGGTCTTTTGTGATTGGCTTCTGAAACTGGCTAATAAAAACATGGGCACGATGTTTTCTAGGTTCATCCATGGTGTAGCATGTATCAGTATAGATGGCCCCTGACCTAAGACTTAGGATGGTTCGACTTTTGATTTTTCAACTTTACCACAGTGAGGAAGCAATGTGCCTTCAGGAGAAACTGCACTTCGAATTTGGAATTTGGGATTTGGGTCTTTTCCCCCAGGCTACCAATATTTAGGATGATCCTCTCTCATGATGCTGGGTGGCAGCAATAAGCGAAAGCTCCCAGTCAACCATGCGATCGTAAGGATAAACAACTGAGCCACTTACAACCATTCTGTGTTTCACTTCCAATACAGTATTTGATAAATTACACAGATACTCAAACTCTATTATAAAGCGGGCTTTGTGTTAGATGATTTTGCCCAACTGTAGGCTAATGGAAGTGTTCTGAGCACATTTAAAGTAGGTTCAACTAAGCTATGATATTCAATAGGTTAGGTGTAGTAAATGCATTTTTGACTTAAGATATTTTCAACCTACGATGGCTTTCTCAGGACATAACCCCACTGTAAGTCGAGGAAGGTCCGTACTTGGTTGCTTTTTACAGCTGAATAATATTCTGTTTGTGTAGATGTATCCCATTTTTTTTGTCCATTCACCCATTAATGGACATTTGGGTTCTTTCTTTTTTGGAGCTATTATGAATAATGTGGATGTGAACATTCCTGTAAACGTTTTGCACGTATAGTCTTGAAGGTGATCTGTAACAGGAGCAGCGAATATTGCCCAGCAGGGGTCTGTGGGGGACACAGACCTCACCTTATCTCATCAGCTCAGGACTCCTCTGTGAAGAGTCGGCATTCAAATCCCCACTGCTCTGACTCCAAGGTCTGTTTCTTACTTCCTTGCTATACCTCCTTTAAGTCTAAAGACTAGAAAGGGGAGTTATTCATTACTTCATGCTCACTACTATACTCTAGGTAGGACATTAGTTATAACACCTCCTAGCTGATCACAACACATACCGTTTGAAAACCGCCAACCATGAAAGTGTGGCCTCCTGGAGAAAGGATCTCAAGGGGCAGAAGGAAGCCCTCAAAGTGTATCAGGACAGTGTTTTTCAGATGCTGCAATTCCCTGAAACCACGGCAGAGGTGTAAAGAAGCTCCAGTATCTGAGTAGTATGCAGAACCGTATTTCCCTTTTCCTCCTAGGACAGACATAGCCCGCACCTCTCTATTCCTTAGACGTATCACACTCAATCCCGACTCTACACTTTTGCCCTGTTATTTCTTCCACCAAGATGTCCCTTTCTTCTCTTCTTGGGCCGCCTCCTATTCATTCTTTAGGGCTCGTGTCATAAGCCACTTCCTCAGTAGACACCTGAGGAGCTGTGCCCAAGGAAATCACTGGGATTGGAGAGAAAGCCCACTCCTCAGCAACCTCAATATGGAGCACCCTTAAAAAGCACAGCATTAGAGGATTCTGGTGTGTAGCAGATGCTGTCGGTGTCCCACTGCCATGCCCTCACACCTACCGGAATTGGAAAAAAGAGGGAAAATCAGGGACACCGGAAAACATATGCATACACATAAATGTGGAAACTCAGAGATGGAGAGTTGAAAAGACACATGCAGGTGAATATTCAGGAGTCTTATGGAGCCTCATCGTCATCCATCCATTCATCATCCATCTATATCTATCCAAGCAATACTGATTGAGCTGAGACACGCCCCCCCCCCCATACACATTTATCAGGCACCGTGCTCAGCACTGTGGGTACACAAAGACGGAGGCGGAAGTCTAAAAGCAGAAACTGGACGTGGGAATAAAAGTAGATGCGGCCCTGAAGCTGGAACAGTCGGGCTGGGCACGTAGGGGAGATTCCTGGAGCAAACCCACTGGCCCAGCACAGGTGAGGATGGACGTGAAACCTGCACATCATAGAGATGCCGAGACCTCCGGCCTTCCTAGAGAGGCCCGGAAGTGGCTCCCCGAGACGCGTCCGACGGCACGGGCGCGGCGGTCTCGCGAGGCTTGGGCTCCCGGCCTCCCGGCCTGTCGCGGTCAGCAGGTGCTGCCGTCTTCGATGCTGTGAGTGGGCCCGGGTTGGGAGGGCGGCCGCGGCCGCCCCGCGGGGTCCGGGGTGCGCTGTCCGGGCCGGCGGGAGCGCCGAGAGCAGAGCGTGCGCGCGGTGGTCGGCGCGGCAGTCGGTGACGCCCACCCTGGTGGCGGGAACGACCCCCCTTTCCAGCTCTCTGCTGGATTCCAAGGAGCCAGGCGCGCCAGGCTTTCTAGGCTGTCTCGGAGGCCTCAGACCCTGGCCGCTGGGTGCGTTTTGTTTTGTTTTGTTTCTTTTCTTGTTTTTTGTTTTTGGTTTTTTAAAGAGCAGACCCCAAGCTCAGAGTTTTCATCAGGCATCTCCATCTGGCTAGACTTGATCATTTGTTTTCATCACACAGTTCCTGGAAATATTACCCTTCCCTTACGACAAATCATTCTGGTTTCCCATTTAAAGTGGGAAAGTGAGAGGGGGCGCCTGGGTGGCTCAGTCGGTTAAGCAACTGCCTTCAGCTCAGGTCATGATCCTGGAGTCCCGGGATCGAGTCCCGCGTCGGGCTCCCTGCTCGGCGGGGGGTCTGCTTCTCCCTCTGACCCTCCCCCCTCTCATGTGCTCTCTCTCATTCTCTCTCTCTCAAATAAATAAATAGGGCGCCTGGGTGGCTCAGTCGGTTAAGCGACTGCCTTCGGCTCAGGTCATGATCCTGGAGTCCCGGGATCGAGTCCCACATCGGGCTCCCTGCTCGGCAGGGAGTCTGCTTCTCCCTCTGACCCTCCCCCTTCTCATGCTCTCTCTCTCTTAAATAAATAAAATCATGGGGCGCCTGGGTGGCTCAGTCGGTTAAGCGACTGCCTTCGGCTCGGGTCATGATCCTGGAGTCCCGGGATCGAGTCCCACATCGGGCTCCCTGCTCAGCGGGGGGTCTGCTTCTCCCTCTGACCCTCCCCCTTCTCATGCTCTCTCTCTCTTAAATAAATAAAATCATGGGGCGCCTGGGTGGCTCAGTCGGTTAAGCGACTGCCTTCGGCTCGGGTCATGATCCTGGAGTCCCGGGATCGAGTCCCACATCGGGCTCCCTGCTCGGCAGGGAGTCTGCTTCTCCCTCTGACCCTCCCCCTTCTCATGCTCTCTCTCTCTTAAATAAATAAAATCATGGGGCGCCTGGGTGGCTCAGTCGGTTAAGCGACTGCCTTCGGCTCGGGTCATGATCCTGGAGTCCCGGGATCGAGTCCCACATCGGGCTCCCTGCTCGGCAGGGAGTCTGCTTCTCCCTCTGACCCTCCCCCTTCTCATGCTCTCTCTCTCTTAAATAAATAAAATCATGGGGCGCCTGGGTGGCTCAGTCGGTTAAGCGACTGCCTTCGGCTCGGGTCATGATCCTGGAGTCCCGGGATCGAGTCCCACATCGGGCTCCCTGCTCAGCAGGGAGTCTGCTTCTCCCTCTGACCCTTCCCCCCTCTCATGTGCTCGCTCTCATTCTCTCTCTCAAATAAATAAAATCTTTAAAAAATAAAAAATAAAAAATAAAGTGGGAATGTGAGGGTCGCCCTTAAAATGAATGTATTTCTTGTAAAAAGGTAAATAGGTTTAAACAAACATAATAGGTAGCAGAGGTACCAGATGTGACAGAAATTGTAAAGGTGGTAAGTAAACAGTGCACTGTCCCAACCCCATAGGGCGACTCGCCTGGTTAAGAGCCCAGCCTTTGGGGGGTGGGGGGGGACGCCTGGGTAGCAAAGTCCTTTTGGACTCTTTTTTTTTTTTTTTTTTCACTTTACTACGACCTTAGTTTTGACTTTTTATTTTTTTTAATCTTATTTTATTATATTATGTTATGTTAGTCACCATGATTCACCGTTTGCGCAAACATCCAGTGCTCCATGCAACACGTTTGGACTCAGTCTCAGCCTCAGGTCTGATCTCAGGGTCCTGAGATTGAGCCCCGCGTGAGTTCTGAGCCCAGTGCAGCATGTGCTTTGAGTTTCTCTCTCCGTCTTCCTATGCCCCTCCCCACTGAGCGCCATCTCTCTCCCTCTCTCTCTCTCTCTGAAATAAATAAATCTTAAAAAAAAAGGGAGCCCAGGCTTGGGAGTACTGCACATCTGACTTCAAGCCGTGGGTGTAGCTCAGCCACTTACAACCAGTTCTGGGTGGGGAATTTAAGATTTTTTTTTTCCTTCCTGCTAATTGAGGTAATTGACATTACACTAGTTTTAAGGTGTACAATGTGATGATTTGTTATACTGTGAAATGGTAACCACAGTAAGGTTTGTTAACATCGCAGGCACCTCACGCAATTAGCTTTTTGTGTGTATGCTGAGAGCTCTAAAGAGCTAGTCTTGGCAATTTTCAAGTGCATGGTAAGGTATTGTTGACTGTAGTGAGGTATACTGCTGTGTATTAGATCCCCAGAACTCATCCTGCCTTATTACTGGAAATGTGTACCCTTTGACCAACATCTCCTTTCGCCTAGCCCCCAGCCCCTGGTAACCACGATGTTTCCCCCTGGAGTATGTCGACTTCCCACTTAATGCTATGCCCTCAGCTAATTTTCTTCCCAAATGTGTCTGGCCTTTTAGGTTGTATACCTCACATCCCTTTTACCTGTATCAGGGTTACTCCCCTTATCATCTTTACCGACTTCGTCTTTATTGCTTTGACTGCTTTGTATTAAGCACAAATAATTTTCAGATCACGCATGGAATTTGAACAGCACCATTTCTAAACCGTCTAGCCTCGATGTATTTTCCTGATCTCAATACAGTAAGAACACAGTTACCTTTTGCCTCTAGGTAGTACGTGGGCAGTAATTTAAAACATACCACCACAGAGTTAAACCACTTGGAGCTGTTTTTATCTTCCTTGAAGCAAACATGAAGTAAATTTTTTTTTTTTATTAGAGAGAGAGAGAGAGAGTACAAGCAGGGGAAGCGGCAGGTAGAGGGAGAGGGAGAAGCAGGTTCCCAGGGAACCCGACGTGGGGCTCGATCTCAGGACCCTGAGATCATGACCTGGGCCGGAGGCAGCCGCTTAACCGACTGAGCCACCCAGGCGCCCCAATAAAAATCTATTTTTATGAAAGCAGTCTTCAATTCTCCTATCTGTTCTGGACTCCAGTAGCACCTAGATTTGTATATTGCATTATACCCGAGGGTTAGCAGTTGTCATCTTGAACTCGGGATGAAGGAACTGTGTGCGTAATCTAAGGTTCTTATTACTGATCCTTAGCATTTAATTAGGTCTTTGTAAATTTAAAGTACCCATAGTCATTTTTATGAGTTTTCTCATAACTTCCCTGTGAGATATCAACTTTATTACCCTCACTTTTATCTTAGTATTATCAAGAGGTCAGGTGGATTTAAATTTCATTTTTTCTTGTTTGTAATTAAGATTCCTTTTTCTGGCTCATGCACTTAACTTTAACCCATATCCACTAGAATGACTGCTCAGGTCAGATGTGACCGTTCACCCTCCACTCAGGGGAAAGCAATTACTAAGCTGGGTTTTGAAAGAGCCTTAAAGCAGTTGAGATTGAGTGCCCAGCCCCAGAAGGAATCAGATGGTAACTAATTAATAAAAGAGAAGCCGTAAAGTGTAAAGATCAGGCAGCTGGTTGAAGAAAAACTGTTATCTACTCTTCTCCCTTCTGGCTTAGTGTTCTTGGGAGTTTCTTGCAATTTCCTGAGAAATGTGTCTACTGCGTTTTGTCTATGCTTGCTGATGTGGGGAGCCAGGAAGGGAGGCCGTGGCTTCTGGTGGTAATGCTAATGGCTGGTAACCTGTGAAGGTTTTACCCACCTGGTGGTGGATAGGCTTCGTTTCCTTGCTGTTTGTCTTGCTAAATCATTACTTTTTCCTTACTCATTGCCACCTTTCTCCTCTGACCCTCCTGATCAGGTCAGTTATATAAATTCTTGCTTCAGATCATTGTGGAATTAGTTGGAAAGTAATAAGGAGTAGCATGAATAGGCCTGGCAGGTACTCTGATGCGTTAATAATTTGAACTTGTACATTCCCAGCATGACTAATGTGCACATGAACCATGGCTGACTTGTGGTCCTGTGACTGCACTGGAATGTGCAGTTTTAAAAACAAAGAATAATTAGAGATTAGGAAGAATTTCTGTTGGAATTTTCCTAATTGGACTCTGAGGCCTGGCCCATTTTCTGAATCCCTTCTCGTGGAATTCTTGTGGAGGCACTAAGAATATCTTAAACTTTGTTATCTGGCATCCTCTTAATCAGAATAGAACATCTGTTAACCAAATGGAACATTTCTAAAACCTATGTGTACTGTTTCAGTGAATGTCTGCACACTCTTCAGACTTCACCTGGACGCTGCCCACTGGGGTCTCAGTTGCTCACCAGATCCTGTCCTGTGTTCAGCTCAGCACGCTGGCATTTCTTCCTCACAGATAAGCCTCGAGCCCAGTCCCATCACCCTTTACTGAGACTCTTGGCTGTTTCCAGCCTCACCCTCCTCCAGGGAAAGCTTGACCCTTAGCAAGGACCAAAGGGAGCAAGCCTGTTCAGTAAACCTACAAAGGCTTTCAACTGTCTACAGAATAGAATCTACACTCCCCCCCAGGAACTCAGAGGTGTCTCAAAGCCGACCCTAGGCCATCTTTCCCACCTCAGTCACCAGCTACGTGCTTTGGCTTCAGTTTGTATACCAGCCCCAGTGGACTCACCATATTAATTGCCCAACACAGCCTTCCTGTTGCTGTTCCATTCATTAACGATGCCCCCTCAGCCGGTGGTAAGCCTCTGCCTTGTCCTGATTCACTCCTCAGTGAAGTCTTCTCTAATACGCCCTTCAGAATCAGTTTCTCTCGACACCACCTCGGTGCTCCCATAGCACTTTGCTTACACCAACATTTAACAGTAATCTTGTTTTCTCCTTTTCGCTTTGTAGTTTAGATATTTGCAAAAGGCTCTCTCCATCATAAATTCCAGAAAGCAGAATTCTGTCTCATTTAGCTTTGTGTTGTTTTCACTCCATAACTCAGCGTTTCTCAGAAGAGAAGTTAAATGAAAGTAGCAGTGTTCGTTGACAAACATAACGATGACTCTTACACACTGCAGGGCCCTGCGTCATTTGTGCCCATCATAATTTTACTGAACTGGATGTATTTCACAGTTCAAAATCATCCATAATTTGAACAAATATTTGTTGAGCATCTGCCATGTTCTAGGTTCTGGTACAGACCTGCCAGTGGAAAAGGCGGAAGGTCTCAGTTCTCATGGAACTTACTCAGTTCTCTTGGAAGGAGAGCAGTAGTAAAAAAAAAAAAAAAAAAAAAAAAAAAAAGATAATTTTATGTAGCGAAATGTACCATGAAGAAACAAAGCTGTATTTAAGGTAAGGGGAGCTCTTTTAGGGGGATCAGAGAAGCGTCTCTGATTGAGCAAGTGACATTCAAGCAGACCTACATACTGAAGGGAAGAAGTCTGGGGTGAAGTATCAGTGACTGACATCCAGTGTGTTTGGAAACAGCCTCAGTAGGCGCCACACCAACTGATCGCTGCATGATGGACCGGTTAGCTTTCCTGGCCATCTGATGTACTTAGTACACTCATCCAGAAGAACTTGTCAGGCTTTGTGCAACCGTGTACGTTTGAGAGGTGTAATCATGGTATGTGGAAATGTAATAGAGCAATCAATGCCCAGACTCTAGAGCTTGAAGAAAAGGAAATTGGAGAAATGGCTTCATGGAGTGCCCATTATGTCGGGCATTTTGCTGGGCTTTCATAAGCCTGTGAGCTTATGATCAGCGCCCTGTTTTTTCCTGCAGCAGTAGCCTCCGAGGGATCAGTAACAGTGTTGCATACTTCTTTCTCATAGGTCCAGTGATCTTTTGACTGTCACACATGGACTTCGAAAAATCTCCAAAGGAAACTGTCCTCATTACAGGAGGAGGTGGCTATTTTGGTTTCCGGTCAGTGCATCGATCACACATGTCCATGGAATTATTTTACTGGTAATTGCTGGAAAAAACAGCCTTCAGTTGCTGGAAAAAAAACAGAGCCTTCAACTCTGATATTAATGTAGTGTCAGCTTCTACTTGTTTGAATAGTGTTAAATCAGAAATGAACTAGGTTGCCCACTGCTCAGATGCTGAAATTCAGAACTACAGATGTATTCTACTTTAAGAAAAATTCTTTGTAAAGGTATTAAATTAGGGAGATAACTGACATCACCAAAAACATTAGAAATAATAGTTATTCTTTTGCAGTTCTGTTATCATTCATAAATATTCCAAAGAATGGGTGGTGGTTTCATAAACAGAGGGGGGGGGGAATGGAATATGTAGATGCCACTGTATTAGAAGATAAAGCCTCTCAGTTTAATTCGAGTAGATGTGTGGATCCTCAGTTTTGAATATTTGCATACTTACTTACATAAGTAAGAGTTGCACCAATGAACATGTAAAGTAAGGGACTTGGGATGAGCCTAGAAGGCTTGGATCAGCCCTACACTGATTGGTAAATTATTTTATGCACTTTTCCTTAGGCATAGCTTACTAGCGATTTGATCTAACTTGCTTCTCATCTCAGCCTAGGCTGTGCTCTGAACCAGAAAGGATTCCATGTGATTCTGTTCGACATCAGCAGCCCTGCTCATTCTATTCCAGAAGGAATCAAGTTTATCCATGGAGACATTCGCCACCTCTCTGACGTGGAGAGCGCCTTCCAGGATGCGGATGTCACGTGTGTGTTCCATATTGCCTCTTATGGCATGTCGGGGCGGGAGCAGCTGAATTGGAGCCTGATTGAAGAAGTCAATGTGGGGGGCACAGACAACATCCTCCAGGTTTGCAGGAGGAGAGGGGTGCCAAGATTTGTTTACACCAGCACTTTCAATGTCATCTTTGGAGGTCAAGTTATCAGAAATGGAGATGAATCTCTGCCTTACCTACCTCTTCACCTCCATCCTGATCACTACTCTCGGACCAAATCTATTGCAGAGAAGAAGGTGCTGGAGGCCAATGGTAGCAGCCTGGTAAGAAGTGATGGTGTCTTAAGAAGCTGTGCTCTGCGGCCGGCTGGTATCTATGGGCCTGGAGAGCAAAGGCACCTTCCCAGGATAGTGAGGTACATTGAGAGGGGTCTGTTCAAGTTTGTGTACGGAGATCCTAGGAACCTGGTTGAATTTATCCATGTGGATAACTTGGTACAGGCTCACATTCTGGCCTCAGAGGCTCTGAGAGCTGCCAAGGGCCACATTGCCTCTGGGCAGCCCTACTTCATTTCAGATGGCAGGCCCGTGAACAACTTTGAGTTCTTCCGGCCTTTGGTTGAGGGCCTAGGCTACACGTTCCCATCTGTCCGCCTGCCGTTGACCCTCGTCTACTGCTTTGCTTTCCTAACAGAAATGGTTCACTTCATTTTAGGTCGACTCTACAACTTCCAGCCCTTCCTCACCCGCACAGAAGTTTACAAAACTGGCGTCACACATTACTTTAGCCTAGAGAAGGCCCAGAAGGAGCTCGGTTATGAGCCTCAGCCATTTGACCTCCAGGAAGTAGTAGAATGGTTTAAAGCCCATGGTCATGGCAGAAGTCCTGGGAATCGTGACTCTGAGTGTCTTGTTTGGGATGGGCTGATGGTCTTACTCCTGGCTATAGCAGTTCTCACGTGGCTGCCTACTTTTGTGGTTCTGTCACTATGAGGGAACTAGAAATAAGGACCTGAACACACTTGCTGGGATGGTTTTCAAGAACTATGGGTTTAGGGCGCCTGGGTGGCTCAGTTGGTTGAGCGACTGCCTTCGGCTCAGGTCATGATCCTGGAGTCCCTGGATCGAGTCCCGCATCTCCCTCTGACCCTCCCCCCTCTCATGTGCTCTCTCTCTCTCTCATTCTCTCTGTCTCAAATAAATAAATAAAATCTTTAAAAAAAAAAACAAAAAAACTATGGGTTTAAAATGTCTATCTAGATCTAAATATATCTATATCTATATAGATATCTAGATAGATAGAAATAGATTTCTGGTAGCAAATTTTGGCTCTTCAAATTGCTACTTAAGAATAGATTCTTGGATCAAGTCTTCATTTCTTACCTTCTTGCACTAATGCTGATAGGAGAAAAAAAGAAGCAAACACAAAGTTGAAATGTAATTTCTTGTATCCTTCTCCTTTGGATGGGTATGATAGAAATCATATTGGAGCCATGGAGCCAGACTGAGGAAGATTGGAAATGTCTTGAATTTCTCTGAGCCAAAAATGTACTTATTTCTGTTCCCTACACTCTGCATCCACTGAAAATAGACTAAAATGTGCACTGATATGGGAACGGCAGAACACTAACAGGCTTGAAAATGTGTGAAAAACCCCAAAATGGGTCAGATCCCTACAGACCAACCCTCTGAGGAGATGGTAGCTGTTGAGAGGCATTAGCTCTTCATTCCTGTAGGATTTAGGAATTAGTTCTTGCCCTTTGTGATATAAGGCATGACCCATGTGTGACCGCGTGGCAATGTTTGAGTTTTAAACAAACAGAACTTTGTCTTACCTCATAGGATTCTTCTGAGGATTAAATTAGACAAGACATGTAAAGGGCCACTCAACACACACACAAGCCCTTGTTTTTATTCATATCGTTGCTATATATTCCTTATGAGGGTTTTCTTCCTCAGGGGAATTCTGTTCAGAGGGTGCTGTTGTCACTAACCTTTCTGGAACGTCTTTGTGATAAGCCCTCAGTCTGTAACGAGCATGTTTGAATATACTCAGTGTTTGTAAAGTTTTGGTCTCTGAGCTTAGATTGAAGTTTAGGAAACAGCCACACATCTGACTAAGGAAGATGATCAAGCTGATGATGCCATTTGTAATTTAAAAATGAAACATAACTCTCAACCAGTAGACTGGTTTTCTTCTGGGAAGAAATTGGGTTCTCAGAAGGCAACTTCCAGTGAAGGATGTTTTGAACAATGGTGGTATTGTCCAGCCACCCTTGAGGACTGCCGTGGAAGGCATTCAAGATGTCCTGTTGCACAGGAACCAAAGTGAAAAGAAGACAGAGAATCTTTACCCGTTCCATGATTCCAGCTTCAGAAAAGACCATATTCAAGCACAAGGCAGAGAGATTGCTGCAGAAGGTTACGTTAGAATTGTGTTGAGATTATTGGCAGAAAGAGGAAGCTAGATGAATACTCCCTGGTAAATGCTACCTGGGTATTTTGGAAAAAATGCTCAACCTGATACCAGAAGACCTGCAACCATGAAGATATTGTGTGGCTTTAATCCAGTAACTGAAGCCTCTTACTTTCCTCACTTGGGAAATAGGAATGACTTGTATTTGCCTTTTCTACAGACCCACCACCCACCTCACAGGGTTTCTTGTGAGCACAAAATAAGATGTTGTGAAAGTACTTTTAATATATATATTACCACATAAATACGAGGTAGTGGTAGTGTTCATTTTTGGTAAAATGTTTTTAGAGTCTTTTCTACCTTAAGTTTTTTTTTTTTTGTTGGGTGGCGGGGGGGACAGAGGGAGAGAGGTAATCCCAAGCAGGCTCCATGCCCAGCACGGAGCCTGATGTGGGGCTCGATCTCACTACTCTGAGATCATGACTTGAGCTGAAATCGAGAGTTGGATGCTTAACTACTGAGCCGCCCAGGCGCCCCTATCTTAAGCTTTTGCTTTAGTCTGGAGTTACCTTGTATGAGCACCTATGGCATACCCAACAGTACAGCTATAGGGCAGGTTCCTCTGCCCTCTGCCGCCTTACAGCCCACTAATGGCATGGCGTGTCCACACGAGGTCACTGATGGAGCGGGTACGTTCAGTAAAACATTTGTCCGCTGTTACTGAGAGGCGTTGCAGACTTTCAAAACATGTTTTTATTGAAGTCCTTCAAAAGAATGATAGATACTTCTTAGTTTTCTTACACCAAGTATACTGAGTATAGTGGGGTTTTGATTGGTTTTGTTGTTTTCCACAATCAAGAGAGCCCCATGAAATTCAGGACGGATATATGGGGTCTCTTGTCATCCAGGTGTGAGGCATTTGGCTACGCCATAACATTTGACACTCTTGTCCACTCTTTCCTTGAAACAGTTCATTCACTGTTCGTGAACTCATTCTTGGTCTTTCTCCTTGTATTAATGACCTATTGTATTACCTCAAGATCTACTACAAATTACCCTAAGACATACCATCTTAACAAATCACTCCTAGACATATGATCGTAGAACAACAAACATTACGTCCTGGTTTTTATGGGTCAGGCATTTGGGTGCAGCTGAACTGGGTTGGTCTTGCCTAGGGTCCCTCATGAGGGTCATCTCATGATATCTGGTACTGCGGTCATCTGGAAGCCTGACTGAAGCCGGAGGATCCACCTCCAGGATGGCTGATCCACATGACTGTTGGCAGGAGGCTCAGTTCCTCACCATGTAGGCATCTCCATTGGACTGCTTGAATGTTTTCATGACATGGTAGCTGGTTTCCCCCAGAGCAGGTGATCTAAGAGAGCATGGTGGAAGGTACAATGTCTTTCATGACGTATCCTCAAAGGTCACACACTGTCACTCCATAATATACTGTTTACACAGGTCAGTCCTATTCAGTGTGGGAAGGAAGTACCCAAAGGTTTGAATACCAGAAGGTGGGGAATGTTGGGGGCCATCTTGGAGGCTGGGCTCTTGGTTCCATCCTCTGAGTCTCCTTTTCCATTAAAGGTAGCCCATATTTACAGCTACATCGTTTTCTCAGCCTGCTACCACCCAGTAGAATTTGGGAGGTCTAAAGACCTCTTTACACTTTGTAGTGTATCTCTTTTCAGCCCAAGCTGGTGGTGCTACTGCAAATAAAATTTTTCTGAACACTGTGTGTCTCCTGGGAGTCTTATTCCAGTTCACCCCATTATGCAAAAGCCACACCCACAAGTTTGAGATAAGTCCTTCTCTACCTTGGGCTTCTGCTCAGGCTGCTGAGGGACAATACCCTTAAGATTCCTAAAAGCTTTATTATTTGAGCAACACTTTTAAGTACCACCTTGGGTCTCTTAAATCTTCAAAGGTTTTAGAGCCACAGCCTCAGTCATGCACTGTCATTTGCACAATACCATATTGGCTACACAGGTTAGCCCTGTTCCATGTGGCAGGAGACTACCCAGGACGTAAAGACGAGGTGGTGGGGAATCACTGGTGGCCATGCTGGAGCCCACTACCACACTCCTATGTCTCGTCAGTTCCCTCGTCCTCTCCTCCACTCCAGTCCTAAGTGGTAGATTTCTTCAGTGCTCATTACTAGACCCTCTTCTAATATAATTTCTCCAAGCTCCTGATCGCATCCAAACCCCTGGCTTTCATTTCCATCTCTATCCCAAATACATACTACTAGAGTTCCAGCTCAGACCATTCTGAGCTCCAGACCCATCTATCCAAGTCCCTTGCATCTCCACCTGGGTATGTCACATGCACCTCTCCATCAACATATCACACAACCCCTCCAAATTACAGGGTTTCTCTCTTTAGTAAGCATCACCAGTACCCGCTGAATTTCTTATGCCAGAAATCTGGGATAATCTTCGATCCCTGCCTGCCCTTGACACACCTAACCCCCCCCCCGAAACCCACTGACTTTAACATCTGTTCATGCCTCAATGTTGTCCAGGGAACAGGTGTTACCTCTCTCCCCTAGGCTCCAATAATACCCTCTTTTCTCTTCCACCTACATACCCTCCTGCCTGCCTTCAGTCCGTTCTCCATGGGCCAAGCAAAGTGATCCTATATGTAAATGTATGTCACTTCCCTGCTCAAAACTCTCCTCGGATATAGGCTGAAAATCCTTAATGTGAGTCCGAGGGAGGCCGTGCTTGATCTGGCCCCTGCTAACTGCTTCAAGATCACCTCCCCCCACACTCCCTTCTCTGCCTGAACTACACCAGGTGCTTGCAGGTTCCGGCTTCCCAGCTTCTCACATCCCTCCTCACTTGATGCCTAATGTTTTTTTCACGCCTCAGCTTCAGCTCCCTTCTTCCAGATGCCTTCCATGATCCCAACAGTGTAGGTGTGGTCCTCCTGCTACAAACTCTCATACCACCTGCTTCTCTTTTACAGCTTTTATCACAACTGCAATAGTTGGTGCAATTATTTGTCTAATGCCTGTAAGCTCCTCTATCCCTAACACCTTGCACAGAACAGGAGTTCGGTAGGTATTTGTTAAGGAACGTTATTTTTCCTTCTGAGGGTGAACACTCCTTTCTGGTGCATACATTAGCATTTGTAAACTGTTGACTGGGAAAAATGGCCAACCTACTATTCGAGCACCGTGTGTTGACGAAATCAAGACTAGATGGGCTCTAGTAAATAAGCAAGGTCATGTTCCATGTGATGTGGTGGAGCTCCGATATGCTGGAGTAAGTTCGGGGAAGGGCGAGGGATGTGGGCAAAGTGGAAAGTTATTTGAGTTCTCCACATCGCAGCTGAAAGCGGACCACTTGAAAGAAGTCAAGTCTTTTTTTTTTTTGGACAGAGAGAGACACACAGAGAGAAGGAACACAAGTAGGGGGAATGGGAGAGGGAGAAGCAGACTTCCTGCGGAGCAGGGAGCCCCATGCGGGGCTCGATCCTAGGACCCTGGGATCATGACCTGAGCCAAAGGCAGACGCTCAATGACTGAGCCACCCAGGCGCCCCAAGTCTATTTTCTGAAAGGTAACGCACTTCCTTTCTCAGGTCAGGAGATACCACAGTTAAGGAATTCCATTAGTTCTAACATTCCTAGTTGCCCTCCCCTTCCCTCAACCTTGGATTGAATCCCCAAACCTGCGTAATGATACGAAACCATGTTTACGCTTGTGCACACAGGGGCGCTTCTAGACACCGGGCATGAATCAGCCAGCCATGCCACCCCAGCCAGTGCTTCCAAGGTATCGTTGGGCGGTCATTGGTAAGTGTGTTGGAGGATCATACCCTGTGACAAAGAGCCTTGCAGTGGAAACCAAAGGTAACGCAAAACTGCCTAGGTCTGCAAAAAAAGGAAAAAGGGCCTTTTCCGTCCGGTGGAAACACTTGATTTCCTTAGTGCTGTTCTAAACACGAGTATCAGAGGGTGCCATGTTACAAACAGCAGTTTCCTGGGGGCCAAATGACTAATTCTGGCACCAAATGACCTAGGCTAGAGTATTTCTCAAGGCTACAGAGTAGGTCTTGGGGCGGGGGGGGGGGGGGGGTATTTTTTTTTTAAAGATTTTATTTATTTGACAGAGAGAGAGAGAGCACGAGCAGGGGGAGGGGTAGTGGCAGAGGGAGAAGCAGGCTCCCCGATGAGCAGGGAGCCCAATGCTCTGCTCCATCCCAGGACCCTGGGATCATGACCTGAGAAAGGCACCCCAAGGTTTTATTTTTCTCAATCACCTAAAATGTTGATTATAAGAAAGCCAGTATTGTTTTGCTGTAGATTGTTTTACTGACAATTGTTGGTGTACCTCCTATCTCGCATTCTTTTCCAAATTCCCTCGCCTTCCAGACAACGTAGAACTAGCTCTCACCCCGTTGGGCACCCTGGGGTTAATGGTCCCCATGTTAGCTGGTCTTGGCATCCAACACCAGCAGTTCGTGTCTTATTAAAATTGTCCCTGTCTGCCAGCACCCCTTGCTTTGGAGAATGACACTCCTCTCCCCTCTTTGGTGAGAGATACCCATTCCCAGCCCATTCCTTGGTGCTGACCTCCTTGTGCAAGACCTGGCCAATCAGAAGGCGGCCATCCTCCCGAGCACAGTCATTGGTCAACGGGGGGCCAATCAGCATCGTCCCTTCCACTTTTCTCCTGGAGCTGTTTGGAGAAACTCTGCCTGCTGGGTGGCTTCATCCCGAGGTTAGGATTCAGGGCTGCCGGGGACTCTTCTACCCAGGAAGAGAGACTAAGCTCTGAAAACGTTGTTTGGGCTCCTGGCTCCGGCTGGGAGTTAAGGACCCCAGAGCCCAGAAAGGGCGACAGAGAAGGTCCTTGAAGACCTCACCGAGTCCGCCGCCCAGCTGTACCCAAGGCTGACTTCATCCTGGATCATCTTGTCCTGTGAGTCTCACTGCATTTTCTTCCTGCTTCAAGTTTTTGTTTGTTTGTCTCGAGTTGGGTTTTTCTCCATGCATTGCAAAAGGTCTTAGTTAATAGTCTCCACAGCTCACTCCTGGGCACAGTTGAACGCACTCTGGTGCCTAAGGGCGCTCATTCTCCACTCACCTGTGTGCCTTCTGCCCTAGGGGGTGGGGAGCCCGAGGGGAGTGCGCTTTTATCCCGCGGGGAACCAAACATTCGCTGGCGTTCTTCTTGCTGAGTTGGACTAATGTCCGTTTATAGAATCCTGCGTGTCTGGGCTGATAGGCTTTCAGCAACCTAGTTCAAACTCTCTCTTTAGTAAGAAAATTGTCTGACAAAGTGATTTGTTCCCCCAGAATTTTGGTGTCCTTATGAGGGCAGGGGCCATGGCTGTTTTGTCAACTTCTTTATCCGGAGAACACCATACAGCCCTTCACCTGCCCAATAAATGCTTCTTGATTGGCTGAATGCATTTATCAGCCAGGTGACCTCATGTGGCTCTGCTGTTCCCCTTACCCACTCCTTTAAACCTGTGGCTCCCAGCTCTCCCTGAACATAACACTGGAGGCCCAAGTTAAAAATACAGATGCCAATATTTAGTACAGGATTGTTAACTGGAGCCCTCTTGGGGTATGTTAGCGCTCTAGATTTATTTCAGGTGCTCTCATCACAAACGTAACTATGGGAGGAGATAATTAGCTTGACTCTAGTAATGACTTCATTATCTGTGTATATATGTATAAGATCCTTATGTTGTACACCTTAAATATATACCATTTTTATTTTAAAAAAGAAAGTAAGAGAGGAGCGATGTGACGCAGAATAGCAGAGAGAGAAGCTTTAGGGGTTATTGTTTCGCCAAAGCAACCAGTAAACCAGGGGAAAAAATGATCAGAAACCAACAATTTCAGAACTCTGTGTTATGTATACTTTACTACAATAAAAATTCTATGCAGATTCCAGACTCTTCCCCTGGCAGTTACTGATTCAGAAGGTCTGAGTGGCCTGGGACTGTGTACTCCAGGTGTTTCTTGTCTTCCAACAAGGAGGTGAGAAATGCTGACTGATACCCTTTGCAGGATGCTAAGTGAGAGGCTCCTGAATGCTCCTTGGTCTTCCCTCCTAGTACGTTGTGACACTACGTGCTCAGCACCCCTTTGCTGAATGAATAAAGAGGGGGATGGGACTCACAAAAGGACTTCAGACTCAGGTGACCTCCCGCCTCCCCCTTTGTGCATGTGCAGTCCTTGGTTCCCTGACAAGCCTGGCCACATCTCTGTGCAGACTCCAGTCCACCTGGAACCGGCTGCTTTGGGCCAAAGGGCTCGTTCTGCAGTCCATGTGGTTGGGCCTGGTTACGTGATCTCTTAGCACAGACTCGCCATTTGCTATTGAAAATCTAACCAGGAATGGAGTCAACCAGTCCATGGTATTTCTAAGCTGTGCAAATTCATAAGATGTTACCCCTCTGTATTTTAGAACTCATGCGCACCCAGAAATATATCTTTGTTACTGGAATCAAGTAATTACGGCTGGGGCAAAACCTAGCTCACTACAAAGAAATTACACATAGTAAGGTGACCTGGGCAAGTGTCTTTCAGCCAACAAGGGGTTTAACTGCAGTGTTTTGCAATGCTTATTTTTAACAGAGCTGGTTGAAGCATGCAAGTAATTAAAAAATTCTTCATTGCTAATATGTAGGACTTTAATCCTGGTGAATATTCTAGACGTCTTTTTTCCTCCAGTCTTCCAGTGGAGCCTTATTACAGTTCTAAGAGTGAAA